ACGATGGGCGTTTGTGCATCCGCATGTACGCATGACCGGCAAGCAAAGCATGGAGGTACTTGTGTATGCGTGTATAGACGGATGAACAGACATGAAACTACTACATATATAAACTACAGTGTAGGAAACAAGAGGCAGCTGGGTTTTCCGGATCCTGTGACGAGTCTGATGACAAATACATCTTGGCCGTGTGAGACGGCAGAGATGAGAGAGCCGGGAGGCAGATGGGGATTCACGAAGCATCCTTGAGGCTCACATTACTGGAACCACAATGGAAAACTCTGGCTTAAGCGCCGAAGGCTGTACCCACTTCTTGGTTCGAACGCAAAGCCTGGACATCTCCAATCATTAGAGAGTTTGCGCCTTGGCAACACCCACCTTGACTAAATTCGCTGCCACGAGGTGCCACCATCAGGCCATGCTGTGCGCATGAGGGTCGGAAATTGAATCGAGAGCGCTTCGGAGTCGGGCCTTGCAACATCTTCGATCAAGGCGGTTTTTGGTTTTGGGTTTTCGGGGTCTGCATTGTGGGTTGCGGTTTGCTCCCTTCGTCTCCCACTCTTTTTGTTTGCATTCTGTGTCTGAACACTAACAGTCACCAAGCACCTTGACCCTCTACAGCCTCGAAATCCTAGACCCCAAATCTCCTTGGCTCGACTTTGAGACCTGGTGCCCAAAGACCCGGCACCAGGTCTTTCTGAGGAAATTCTGATGCATCACAGGTGTTGCTGTTTTGTACAGCTAATTGTGGTACTGCTGATTTCACTCATAATGTTGTCTGACTACCGTGTGGTGATTTGCTACCATCACGAGTAGTCGCAGTAGTACGCGTGCCATAGTGTGTATTCTTCCCACAAGTACTCGTCTGAATAAGCAAAAGGAGGATCGGCCCAAAGCCCTCTTCGAAACTAGGAGTCAGGGGTTCAGGAGCTCGGGTGCTAGGAACGCTACCTTGAGGGTTTTGCCCGGCGCCAGGCCACCAGGGGACGACGCCGAGGCCTGACTTCTAGGTACCAGGTCCGCAGTCAGGTCCGCAGCCCGGGGCCGACGGAGGCATCACATGCCAGTCGCATCAACATGTTGAAGCATCTTTCGGCATATGGATGACTTCTCTCTTCCACTCCCCCTCCCCTCCCTCCCTCCCGCCCTGCCTCTCTCCCTGGCTCTCTCTCTCTGTCACGCTCTCTCTGCCTGTTTCTGTGTCCTCCCTTATGGCTTTGCTCACCGGCGCTGAGTCTAGCAATACTCTGTGCCGGTTCACTAGACAGGTGCGGGTGTGGCCGTTGTAGGGTTGAGGGTTTGGGAGCATGTCGTCGTCGCTGTATTGGTAGAAGCAGCGGTGGTGACAGTTGATGTGACGGTAGCGAGTAGCGTCAGTAGCATGCAGAAGCACAGATCATGTGTATGTCCAGTTAACCTGACCCCCAATGCTGCCACCAGGCAGAAGACATGATCAACGAAGAGGATTTTGCAGACCAAGCCCGGAACTTATGGCCTTACAGCTGTGCACAGAGGCTAGTCGGCTTCTTGTGGGACCCTTGCAGCACAGAGTGTCCACATTGACATGGTGTTCCGATGGAGCCACCAGGCTTCATTCAGGGTCTTCCATAGAATCATAGAATGCCGATGCTCCAGGTTCTAATAGGATTGGATCCGGGGCGCTTGTGTGGAGTGTGGATGTCGGCAGCCTGCGGTCAGTTTGTAGCTTTGGCCTTGGCCCAAGGTTGCAAATCTCTCCCACTCCATAGAGGACGGCGCAATCTGTGGGTTCCAATTTTGCACGATCATGTTCAGACTGAGACCGTGTATGTGTCTGTGTGTGATGTGCGTGCATTGCTGCCGCGCTTTCAGCACAGCTTGATCCAATATCATGCGATCTCAGCCCAATGAACTGGGAGAGTGAACCCTCACTTCAATTCACACCGAGAGTATTGTACCTTGGAGCCCCGAGGAGATTGCACGGAATTTGCGCCTGGACCATCTCCAGAAGACGAGCCACTGGAATTTGCACATGAGTTGAACTTCAGTGTCGAAAGGCAAGGCGTTCGCTTTTCTTGTGGCTTATGCTTAACCAGGTCACAATGTGGGATTCCGTTGAAATCTCAAAGGCTTTAGAGACATAACTACTCATAAAAAGCATTCTGAGGAACCCTGAAACTAAAGCTTAACTTAGCATGTTGAGCCTCGAGCTCTGGCCACCTTTGCCGAACTGACCTCCCGCAAAGCACATCTGGACGGCAAGGCCCGACGGACTCCAGGGCTCCGGGTACCCTTGTAGCTAGTGCCTATAAGTTCCAACAAGAACTCAGAAACCTTGTAGTTGCCTACGACACCCGACAGCCCTACAGGCCCTCCAAACTACTTAGAGAGACGGAGAGTGAGGGAGGGAGAGAGAGAGAGTACCTGAAGCCATGTGGCTAGAACCGTATGAGGTTTGTTTGGGCTGGAGGTACTTCAAAGCCGTACAGAGTACCTTGCACTGCCCTGCGGTCACTACAGGTAGCAACCCGAACTTCTAACATCGAAACCCTTAGCCTTAGGCCCTATAAGTCCTAAACACCCTAAACCCCAGATCCCAAACACCAAACAAATACCTAAATGTGTAGTTCTCCAAATTAGGGTCCCTTTTCAGGTCCCCAATATAGTACGGCACCCTTATAAAAAGGACCCTAAAAGGGACCCTAATTTAGAGAACCACCCAAATCCCTTCGCCTCAACCCTGGATTGCTCAAGAGGGAGCAGCACCTGAAGCCACTCAGGCGATGCCAAAGCCGCTGCTCGGCTGGAGGCCGCCAGGCGCGAGAAAGAGGCCTGACCGAGGAAGCATGGCAAGAGGATGATATCCGGGCCTAAATAATTACCTATGGTTCCTTTCAGAATTATAGTATAATGTAGAAGCCTAAATAATTACCTGTACTATTTTGGGTGGTTCCCTATTATAATTGTGGCATCATGGCCCCCAAAACCTTGTTCTAATTACTGAGGCCCCTAGATTACCAATATTGATAATGCTCATGGTGGCGACAACACCGACACGCGTTGCTTTACTTTGATACGCAAAGTTATGTGCGTGTTATGTCTACAGAGATATAGACATATGTACATATTATATATATATATGTATACATACTTCTGTTTTTGTGTTTACGAATATTAGGTGTGCATATGCGTAGATGTACACATGTTAAGGTTGAGCTCGTGAGCGGCTGTGGGCTTTCGGATTTTTCGATTCCTAAAGTTTCGCGGGCTTCAGACTTTGAGGCTTAGTCCAAGAGCAGGGTTTTCCGTGGTCCAGGCGATTCACGTGTCCTGGTTCTGTTTCTTGCCTTTCGGATGTCCAGGCAGAAATACGACGTGCTCGGAAGAAGGCCTGGCACGGCCGGGTGTTCTGCAAGATGGCCGGGTGTTCTGCAAGATGTTGGCGTGAATATGTAGTCATGTACGTACGTATGCATGCACTCACGTACATGTATGTGTGTGTGCACGTATATGCAGTACACTTCTGCATGAAAGGCATGTTTGCATTTTGCATGTGTGTGCGTGTTCATGTAGTGCATGTACATAGACATGTACCTGTGCAATCCGACTCACCTACATAACGCATGCTTGAATGCATGCCAGCATGCCAACATGCCAGCATGTGTTCACACAGAAGTACATACGTATACACAGATACATGAGTATATATATATATATACACACACATAGGCGCGTGCATGTGCTTGTGAGAGAAAGTCATGCAGAGCTAAATCTTTGCTGGTGTACTTGGTTGGTTGTTGAATTCTTGCTTTGTGCATTCGTTAGTTCGTTCGTCAGGTAGTCAGTTCTTCTTAATTCATGGCGAAGTGTGCGTTAATCAGCTAATGAGCCAGTTGGCTAGTCAGTCAGTTACTTAGTTCGTCCGCCCCTTAGTCATTTAACTGTATCTATGCAACTAGGCATGAGCCCCTGTCTCTTTGCGTGCGCGTGTATTTTGCTCAGTTGCTGTTTGTTTGTTTTTGTTGAGTATCAAGTCGGTCCACCGAAGAGAAGCTTCAATTTACGCTGGTCAGCTTGAAACTACGTACAGCCAATTCAAGCCATGCATCCCCCAAACGCAGTGTATGGCTTGAGCCGGCGTAATGTCAAGCCGAAGATTGAAGTTCAGAGGAATCTTCCTTTTACGGTGAATCGGCTTGAAATTCAAGCCGGTTCAAGCCACGTACTTCGAAATCGGGAATTCCATCAACACGTTCCCAGACTCTTCAATCTGGGGTAATCCGGCTTGAAACTCAAGCCGGTTCGAGCCATCGAACTCTAAAACGAAGATACCCCAAAAAATGTCCCAGTAGTTTTCATCCGGCTTGAAACTCACCCCCGTTCAAGCCCCCGAAATCGAAGATTCCTCCAAAACGGGCAGGGCTTCAAACTCAAGCTTTCAACCCGTTTTAAGCCATCCACCCCTAATCGAAGATTCCCACCACAACTTGTGCAGAAATCTTCAATCTTCAGCTTCAAACTCCATCCGTTCCAGCACTGTCGGCCAGTTAGATGATTTGGAATGTGCCCAGTATGGACAAATCCCTACAAGCCCGTCCAATGTATCTAAATCCGGCTTACCTACATTGTCCAACTGAGTACCTCTGTGAAGTCTTGAAATATCTGTCTAACCTGTCGAATCCCGCTTGGAAACTAGCAGGACAACAACTTGGAAAGATTCAGCAAGTTTGGATAGCCTCAGGTACCTGAGATACATTCGAAGCTTTCGAACTGGACCACGCCACCCAACTCGCTTTCGTTATATAGTTGGTGCCTCTTTAGAAACTGTTGCCCTTCAAACAGATGTTACGGACATATACCTCTTGAAATTGTTTTAAACACCCAGCTGTACTAAGATGGATCGCCCAATGCCTCCACATCTTGTGCTGAGGCCCTGCAAAAACCGAATCAGTGGATACGATTTCTGAAGTTCTCACAATGTCCATGTCCATCTGTCTAATGTCCAAGCCGCCACGGTCGAG